GATTCTTGTCTAATTTTCCATCTGAATTGAAATCAAGAACCATGGTTGTAGAACTTGACATTAAAATCAACTATGTAGCTATATGCCATCTAAGAATTGCTTTTCAATCACAATTTCTAAACCATTGAGCTCCGATTAAGTCTTTTTTTGAAGGAAATTGATTATAAGATAGTCCATCAGCATCCAAATTTGTAATACATGCCTAATGCACAACCTCAAAGTCGTATTCTTAAAGCAACAAAGTCCAACTTGAAAGCTTGCTAGTAAGCTTGTTTGATTCCATAAGCCACCTCAAAGGTTAACGGTTAGTTTCCAATATGAAACATTGACCATACAAATAAGGTTGAAGTGAGTAATGGCCCAAACTACTACCAAAGATTTTCCTTTATAAGATGAGTAATTTGACTCTGCATTGCTATCACTTTTAGAAGAAAATGCAATAACATATTTTCATCCTATATCATCTTTTTATATCAAGACTGCTTCTAATTCTACTGTACTTTAATATATATATATATATATATATATATATATAGAAAGGTCTATTGGCATCCAGATATTGAAGCATTGGAGTTGAATCCAACTTTTATTTCAATATATTGAATGCATGTTGTTGCTCATGATTTCAAGTCCATGGTTGATTTATACCCATAAAAATAATTAAAAGCTTGGCAATAATACTAAAAAATTTAACAAATCTTTGGTAGTAGTTTGTCAATCCTAAGAAAGTCCAAAGTTGTGAAACATTACTTGGTGTCGGGATTTTTTGCAAAGCATCTATCTTTGCTTGTTGTATATCAAGATCTCCTAAGATAATTATGTGTCTCAAGTATGGTAATTATTTATAGAAGAATTTATACTTTGCATGATGCAAGCATAATTTTCATTGCCATAATTGCTCAAACATTGCTTATAAATGCCTCGCATGATCTTGTGGAGTGCTACTAAAAATGATAACATTATCAATGTAGCATCTAATAAATGACAAGCCAGATAAAACTTGGTCCATCACATGTTGAAACTCAACCAATGCATTCTTAAGACCAAATGGAAAGAACTTTTGGTAATAGAGTTGATCTTTGTCATCTTCATTAATTTTTTAAAATACTATCTTCATCCAATTATAGATATTAATAGTAATTGGTGATAAACAGATCTTAAATCCAAAGTGATGAATACTCAAAAGAATCCTACTACATCAAATAATTCTTCTAGCATTGGTATTAGATATTGATTAGACTTAGTCTTATAATTAATTAGATAATAGTCTCTACATATTTTTTTCTCTATTTAATTATTAAAAATATCTTTTTTAAAGGCATGGCTATAGCACAAGCATACTCATCATTAGAAACCTCAATCAAGCGTGCAACCAATAACTTTTGGTAATATATTTGGATACCAATTTTCTCTAAGGCACTAAGCATATAAGATCATAGGAAGATTGGATAATCATCTTCTAATTGAATGTGAATAGGTTTGCCTTTATAGCCTTTAAGATCTTTAAAACTAAAGGCAAAATAATTGTGATACAAACCAATAAAAGCTTCTATGCTACATGCTTTAGCATCAGTAAGATGTGGCTTTAACTTCAATAGCCAATCATCAAATTTTGTAATCTTTTTTTTTTACCAATGGATCCCTACCACATATAGGCTTAGCCTTTAATTACTAAGTTGTTGAAGAAACAACTCTTATGCTTCCAACATCTTTATTTCTAACTAATTGAAGGACTTCATCACTACAATATTTGTATGAAAAAGAAATATTGGTAGAACATGGAGTATCTTCCAAAAACAAATCCTTTAATAGAGTCTCTTAAATATTTGCTTTCACCAAGTCTTTAGCTAAAATTATAAAGACATCTTTAGCTTGTAGCTCATCTATTGCATGCATCTATAAGCAAAGAAATAACTTGGATTTATCAACCTTAGTAAGTTGAAGATCCATTGCTCCTTCACAATGGTTCTTTGACCTCAAAGTATTAATATGATCATAAAAATGCTTTTGAACAGTAAGGCATATGCCAAAAATCCATATCAAAGCATTGAAGTTTATAGCCTTGCCTAGGAAAAAATGACATTGTCCTTCAATAAGGTCATAAGCAATTGTGGTGCCAATTAAAAAACCTATGGCACAATGCAAGAGTACAAGTGTGAAAATAAGAGAAACCCTAAAGCTTTACTAAATGGCTAAAACACCATAGCCAAGCAAATCCTTACAACAAGTTCTTTTACTCTCAAAATTACTCACAAGACTTGATTTTACAAGAAAGTCAAGTCAAGCATTTTTCTCCACTAATTGACATGAATAAGTCAACTAATGGAAAAACTACCAATGGATGAAAAACCACTAACTAAACTAAACTACATACATCCAATAGGATTTGGCACCGGATGCCATATCACGTGACAGCACACAGGATCTCTCACATTTAAAAGAGTAAGCCGACTATGGTTGCTACTTTGTAGAGTGGTCACAAGGACCTTATGGATAGAGAGAAATGACACCATGTTCAAAGGCATTCACTGGGCAGAAAAAAAAGTTATATCAAATGATTTGGTTACATCTTGTCAACAATGGTAGAAACGCCAGGTTTAAAGCACAGAAACAAATGCAAAAAATACCTTTCCAAGCTGGAGCGTGGGCACAAAAATTCCGCCAACTGTGGTATGAAAACAATATCATGGCCTCATGGCAGCAAAGCAAGCCCGAGTGGCAGCGAATAGGTCTCTACAGTGATAATAATAAATTACTGTAGAGACTTACTCGCCTGGCTGGACCTGGATGGGGCAGTGTGACTTATTACAATAAAGAAAATCTTTCTTCGCGTCAAAAAATAATAATCATCATCATCAGCTGGTTACCTTTTCCTTATTTTGGAAACAATTTATTTGAGTTTGAAAAATGACCACAATCATGATGTTAGTTCAACTTCTTTGTAATTTTTAAAGAGAAAGTAAAGTAGTCAACATGCAATTGTCCAATAAAAGACGTTTTGAATTTTAGAGCTATTTTAATTTAATGCACCATTAAACTCCCTCCATATTTAGCCTGTGCAGTAATCAGGACACTTCCCTGCAAGAGTTTCGAACTTTCTGGAAACCCCTGAAACCCTAACTTGTACTCTCACATTGTACCTTGACCTAGTACTTTCAATCTTCACAAGGAACTCCGTTTCATGTTTTTAATGTAGAATCCCAATATCATTACTGGTGGATCAGAATCTTTGGTCATTTAAACCTGATTTTGTCAATTGCTCATTTCGAATATTCTGGGACCCACAATTGGGCGTGAATATCAAGGTGCAAAACAAATCATAGTATCAAACATGATGAAAAAGCTTCCTATTATTGTTGTGAGTTGAGCGCTTTGTTCGTCAGATAAAAAGTTGCAAGTGGGAAGAAATTGGCAGCTGTACGTTTCTTCAAACTGGTACACAACAATAAAAAACATGTGTTGGTTGTATTGTATGGGACATTAATTTTTGGACATAATTTTATTTGTAAAATATATTTACAATGTGTGTTAAAAATAAGTTTGTGACTTTAAAAGAATGATGTCATTGTAATTATAGAAGAATGATTTATAGTTATCTAATCTTTCATACCAGAGTTTTTATATTTTGTACACATGCAAGTGAAATATCTTTCCTTTAATAAAATAACCATCTATAACTGCTATGCAATAAAAATGATAATAAAAATAATATTTTAATTTTATATTAGTTTAAAAAACCAATTATACTCAAAACGAATTTTTTAATAAGTATATATGAATTTCTATAATAAAATTAACTATGTATATTTAACACATTCATATTCTCCACAAAATGGCATGACATCTGAACTAAAAAATACAATATTTGTCACAAATATACAACATGATAAAAGTAGTCACAAATAATTTAATTCATTTTAAAATAGAAAAATTTCAAAATAGCTATAAAAGAATATATATATATATATAATGCCACACTTAAAATAAGATTTATCTTTGTTAATTTATAGTTTTTCAATCTTTATAAAAATAAAATATGTTTACACCAATTCAAAGTGAATGATATCAACGAAGAAAATTCCAAATTCATCGTCCAATTGATGTTTCATCCAAAATTCAAATGCCGTCGTCAGGAGGCACGAGAATAGGCGACGACGATGGGAGAATGGCCCACTTGAACCCCTCACCGCGGCATCTAATGGAATCCGACTCGGATAAGTGATCCCCCCTCCCTCCCGCGATTCACCCCCCCTCGAGAATCTCGCCTCCTTTCATGGATCCTTTCGCTCGGAGCGCCACTGCCAAAACCGCTTTCTTGCCCTCCGGTAATGCAGTTGCATGCCAGACTTCACCGTTACAAATATAGAGGCTGCAGACGAAGAAAGTCGTGACCTCGCTCTGAGAGACCCTACGATCTAGACTTAGAGTAACCATCAGATGGAACGCCGGAGCTCACGATTATAGTTCTCCGCATTCAGACAGTGGATTGCGATCTGATATATGGTAAGATTTGTAACAGGAATTGGATTTTTGAACTGGGGACGGTAATTGACTTTTTATCATTGCGGCGGGAATCCTCCGTTGGTGTAACAAAAGAAACGAGAGTCGCAGTGATTATCCAAACTAGGCATCAACGGCGTGACTGAGCAGAGCTGGAAACCCTTCGATGGCGATCGCGCGGCCCCACATCCCGATTGATGATCCACGCTCAGTCACGTCAACTCGGGCATGTGTAGGAACAATGGTCCCCTGCTGCAGCGCAAGTGGCGGCCCATCGTTACCGTGCTAGGGTCCAGGATGTCCTAGTGGCGCATGCCAGACTGGGTGGAAAATCAGAAAACGGAACAAAGTCAAGGCAAAGGTGGACAGGGAAACGTGTGATGATGCCGAGCTCCTTCTGCCGACGCGAGAACCGTAATGCCTCCCGTGGTGTATTTTTCTCAGGGACAGTTTCTGCCCACACTCAGGCCCATATTCCAAACTCAGGCCCACTTGCGTGGTATTCGCCTTTTGACAGGATATGACTGGGTCGTATGTAGGTGAGCTTTCAGTGGTGGCTCAGCCTTGTCTCTATCGACGCTCTGGGTTCAGAAGTTCTTATTTGCTCTTTTTCTTACAGATTACAACTTCGGTGGCCTGCAGATTCGTAGTGTGCTTATCGTAAGCATCAGTCATTTCTACGTCGCTTATAGTCCTGCACTTGTCATCTCCGTTGTTGACCAGGGTTTTGGGCTTTCTATCTCTCGTGTGTTGCTGTCTGCCCTCTCGTGTCAGAGCTTCTTCCAGACGGATTTTTAGAATTTCGGTTTGTTCCGAGTTTCAGTTGCTTTTGTGCTCACTGAGTTGACAGGGTTTTGTGGTGTGCTATCGTCGACGTTACAGGGTCAAACTACGCTGTGGGAGGTGGTTTGAGAGGGAGATCGTGTTGTATCAGGAGGGTAGCATCTTAGCTGGTTGAAGAGGTTGGGGGGTCTTGATTGGGTAGATAGGAGCAGGACGATTCGTCGACCATGACGACCAAATTTATGAGCAACATGTCGAGGACATTCTCGAACAGTGGGTTCTCTAGGACTTACTCCAGTGCACCGAAGCCGTTCCACTTCACGAAGCTTCATCAGGCCAACATGAGCCCCTTGCCCCCGCCGGCAACTCAAAAACCTAAAAAGGATAATAGCACCTGCTGGGCTATCTTTTGTTGTTGCTTCACTGGATGTATCTCGATGCTTATCACGGCCGCGATCGTCTTGGGAATTACGGCACTGATTATCTGGCTAGTGCTGCGGCCCGTCCACATGCCGCGGTACAATATTCAGGACGTTAACGTCGTCAGATTCGCTTACAATTCTGTTCCGCGCACCCTTGATTCCGAAGTCAGGTACGTAGTTAATGCCAACAACCCGAATGGCAAGATCGGTATCAGATATGAGACTATTACCATCGATACCGTTTATATGACCCAGAATTTGAATCAGCATTCCATTCCCGGGTTCTACCATGGTCACCGTAACGTCACGTTGAAGCCGGCTAGTTTCTCCACAACTGGATTGCCCTTGGATCCTGGAACAGGTGCCATCCTTGAAGGGCATATTGCTACAGGGGACGTTCCATTGGTCATGCGCGTCCGTGTTAAATTCAACCTCAAGATAGGTGCGATCACGACTCCAACCTTTACCGTGAAGGTCAACTGCAATGTGCACATCAAGCCGCCAATCGGAACTACTCCCGCTTCGGTGCTTGGTTCCCCGACCTGCAAGAGGGTTTGAACAAGATGTTGGCTTTAACTGATCTCCATAGATTGCCTTTTTCTCTAGCTGCTTACTTCTCGAGCCCTAACTTCACATCTCAGCAAGCTCCTGTTGTAGCACAAATGGACCTTTCTGTGAATCGCAACCATCAGGATATTCAGCAGTACCTACCAGAGCAGCAAGTTGTTTTAGAACCAAGGGAGGGGGTGGGAGATTTACAGAGCTTGTCCCTCATTCTCTCACGGTGGGCTTTAAGGTTAGGCACTTTGAAGAGTCTAGAATGTGGCCACTCTTTGTATACTAGTATGATGTACATTCCGCATCTTCGCTCATGCAGAGGCAACAGCTGCACGAGTTATTGGATTCTACTTTGGTACTAGGTTCTGAAAGGCAATTGTTTTAGTGTTGGAAGCCATGACATCGTGTGTATGAGTGCTTCAGTTTTTCATGATCTTGTCATTGTGGAACGGTGGCTAAACCAAGCAATTGTGAATACCTTGCACTCCAGGCCCCTTTAGATGACTTCACACAAGAGTTGCATTAGGTATTCTTTTTCAGCAAAATCTTATCTTTTCATTCTACCGTAATATTTGTGCCAATTTGGTGACAGTTCATGTGAGACAATTAGTGTTTAATGCTGCGGTCTACATCTGGTATCGTATGAGAATCCCTCTTGTTGTGGGTACTTATCGTCCGCCTGCGGAGTGTAACGCAACATGCGTCCTGGACACATTGTTAGCATGAGAGGGGTTGGTAGCGTGCTCGTCACTCGTGCTATTAGATTTAGCAGTGAGAATTCTGAGAAAACTACGAAATGGTAGGGTTGTGTGCTCTTCTCTGAATTATTCAATTTGACGTCGTAGATTATTACTCATGATAATGAAAAAGTAGTGAGATTTTCTATTAATGCCACGCGTTTTCAGTCCCGAGGGTGGAAGTTGAACAGAATGAAGTGATCTGCCGGTCCTGACGATAGCCACATTTGTTAAGACTATTCTGGCAGGTCGCCAAAATCATGCCACACTTGAGAGGATAAGCGACTGAAAAGAAGTTTGTCAGTGGGCTACAAGATTTCTGCATTGTTTTTATGTGTAAATATTAATTATCCTTTGTTGTTAAGAGAGCAAACTGATGGTCGATCTGGATTTGAAGGAAGTGCCGATACTTGGGAGTTGGATTAATGTATCATAACATGTTATCAGTGTCTGTAGGAAAGCATTATTACATACCAGTGCTGACAAAGAAGGTGAAACTGTGTACCTAAGATATTGGAGATGATATGGCTGTAATATAGAAGAGGGAACAGTTACCACACCAATTCACCCAACTTGGCTGATTTTAGAATGGGAAGCGAATTGCCTGCGTGTCCAGGTAGAATCAGGGTGGAGGTGCGTCTTGCCCCAGCGATTCACGAAGAATAATTATTTTCTAAAGGACCGAGGCTGACGACCACTAAACGTTGTCGCTGCAACTAGCCAATTGTAGACTGCAGTTGTCCAGTCGGTAACGGAATGGATCCTTGACTTCGACGACCATAGCAACCCTGTCACGACTACAATGTAGCTGATTCTGTCTGAATCTCCCCCAATTCCCTGAACGAGGCACCAAGCAACGGCACACCTTGAATCCCAAGAAAGATAAAAAGTTGTGAGAACTGTGAGCTTCCAGTCACCTTCTACGGTTGGTTGTCATGGTCTTTCGCACTGATTCTCTTGCCCGCTCGGCGGTGCTCCCCATGTCTGATTCATGTGGGCTCCGCTTTCACATGTCGCTCATCCTTGCTCCTGCAGCAGAGCTTCCTTTGAGCTTGACAAGCACTTGCTGCACCATGATCCTTCTTCATTAGCTCTGTGACTCTCTGTACACTCTAAACTAATGTAGAGATTTGTAGGGACCATTCACAAATTAAAGTTCTTATCAGACAAAGCACTGAATGATGAACATGGCCACCAAAACCATTTTAGAAAATGCTGCGGTTAGTAGGAGATGTGTGTGTGAATTTTTACTTAGTGTAACATTTAATTGTTAAATAGGGTTAGAAATGTCATAATATGAGTGTTTTTTTTTTTAGTAAATAATTTCATTGTTTGATGTCAAGGATATTTGTTATCTTATTATTACAACCACTAGTTGCAATAATGGAGAGTGTTGACAGGATAGGAATAATCTACCTTTGTGTTAGGTACCCTAAATTTTCAAAAACAATTCCTAATACGATTGTTTGGTGCCTTCGGTATATTCACATTCATTGTTAATTATGGATGGAACGAAAATGCTTACATCTAGTTTAATAAAATTCTTAAGTGTTACTTATCATTGAATTTTATATTGTTGAATGTTAACTTTGAAAAACATAGTAATCTTCCTTTTGCAATTATGTGTATATGTATCGAAATACAAGGTGATTAAGTAGTTAAAACTGAATGAATTCGAAACTACATGTCAAATGTATAAAATGTAATCCAATCCATCTTATTGATTATAGTTGTATGCATCTAATTATTGTTATGTTTTGATAGAGTGCATATGGTTGATAACGTGTAAAAATTGCAACATAAGTTCTTTCACTAAATCTGTCCAGGATACAGCACGTAACAGTTAGCCAAATTCAAAGGCACAAATAGGATGAAACATGAGCCAGTAGAATATTCGTTCAGAAAATACTTTGAATGGAAAAGATTTGCATCTTGATGCAGCAGTACGACATATAGTTGAGGTAATTCCAAAGGATGTGAAACGTATGATAATATAAGAGTTACTATGTTTAACCGGATGAACAGTTACCAGTAATGGCTTTGTTCTTATCACTATCTAGTATCATCAGTGCATGCGGCATACATCCGGAGGTTTGCCTGCAAGGTTTCAGTAGCACTAACAGAGTGCTACACGCGTAGTGCTCCAAGTGGGAGCGCCAGACACCGTTATAGCAATTTCGGGAAAGCCTGGGACCACGAGGAAGTGGCAACCATCGGAAACCTGGTAGGATCGAGCTGGATATAAACCATTCCTCCATCATGCTCGTTCCAAACCGATTTGAGTGTTCTCATAAGGACTCCCTCGCAGCAAAAGATCTCAATACCAGACAAGCCAAGAGTCTGGAACCGCTTCAACTGAAAAGTGTAGACTCAAGGATTACACGGTTAGCTCTACGGGAAACAGTGCAACACTAACAAGGTTGAGCAGACAATCGACGGAGTTCGACAAAAAGTTCCGCACGGGAGGTGGTGTTCAGTAACACCATAAACATTGACCAAGACACGTCGCAGCATTCATCTCAGCCTCCAAAACCGTAAAGAGTACGGCCCTGGCGCTTCAGAGCGTACACTACATCCATGGCCGTAACGGTCTTCCGCCTGGCGTGCTCGGTGTAAGTAACAGCGTCCCTAATGACATTCTCCAGAAAGATCTTAAGCACACCGCGAGTTTCTTCATATATGAGCCCACTGATGCGCTTCACGCCACCTCTCCTCGCCAATCGCCTGATGGCAGGCTTGGTGATGCCCTGGATGTTGTCGCGCAACACCTTTCTATGGCGCTTGGCGCCACCCTTACCAAGCCCCTTGCCTCCCTTACCTCGTCCAGACATGGCTACTAAATGCAAGAGCAAAATAGCGGCAGCAACAAATTCACGCGGAACAAACAACAAGAGGAACAGAATCTGAACGTGAAGACTTGATCTGTATCAGCTTGAAATATAGTCTTTGAAATGGAGGGGGATTTCAAAATGCGAGGGAGACAGGGCGCTGGCGGGAAATCCGAAATTTGAAATTCCCGCCAAACACCTCACAGTGTCCACCCGTCGTGCCCCACTGAATGGACGCGCTACAACGGCACAACAGCACAAGACTGAGACGCCCACAACGGCACCCAATTTAATCCCCACCAGTTCACACGGTACAAGGGTCCAGACGTTTGGATGCCGGCCATTTGCGGGGTTCAGTCCACCAGCCCATCTTCACAACGTTTAGTAACAATGAGACAGGGGGAGGCTGAAATTTGGCGTGGCTCTCTCCCACCATGTCGTGCCCGGTGTGCCCCGCCCTGCATCTGGCGAGCCCTGTGCTCATTATTATCGAGTGAGCGGGCAGAATTCTCTTACAAAATTGTTGTTCTCATGATTTATTATTTATAATTTTTATTCATTGTTTTCTTGTTTTTTTAAGTCTTTTATTAGTAATGCAATGTGATTTGTTGCACCGCATGTATAATGTCGTGATTGTAATGAATTGTGTTCTTTAAAGAAGGTGCAATGTTTTCTTGGGTGTTAAGATATTTAAGGAATTCAGTCCCATTGAAACATATAGATGAATTAATTAATAATGAATTTGGTTAGTAACTCGTTCATGATCACATTTTCTAACGTCGTGTTCATGATCACTTAAAATTATAAATAATATTATTAAATTTGTCCATATTAAGATCTTATGTATAATTAAATAAAATAAAGTCTCTTGAATGCCACACACATATGATATATATATATATATATATATATACACATGTTTAAATTTTGGAAAGATGATAATTACTTGGTAATTATTCTGTATATCAAGTATAATTTGCTAGAATCATTAACGTTGAAAAGTTTTTGAATGGAAAAAAATAGAAGCCTACAGCATGTTCATAAAAAGAAGAAAAGAGAAAGAGAGCAAAAAACAAGTATTGAATAACTGAACAAAACAAAACAAAGAAGAAAAATTATGTGTGTATGTTGAATTGCAATACCTAAATTGAATTCACCAAACGTTTAATTATTTTTGTTACTCTGCTACATGTTTACTGAGATTATTATGGTTTCTATTAATATTGAAAACACTGAATAGTATAATTTAGCATTCTCTTGTGCTTATAAAGTAATTGCAAAAATCAAAAAGGTAAATGAACAAAGGTTCCAAGTATCCAACTGTGGTTCAAACTAAGATATCAGCAATTATTAATTGATCTTTGCAGATTTAAAAAAAATATAGAAAAATTTATCACATCAACATTGAAAAAGTCTTACAATAACAATGAAAAAGTCTTACAATAAAATTTTAACTTTTTCTCATTAACTTTTATATCTTTGAAAAAATAAACATGATACATAGATTAAAGGTTTTTCATATTAAAATTATATAGTAAAATTATTACAAATCACAAGGAAAGCTTCATTGTACCTGTTGTCTATCTATCTATCTATATATATATATATATATATGTATCTTTGTGATTTGTTTTTGTAGATATAAGAAGGTTAAATTGATAAACAGATTGTAAATTTTATGCATATGCATAAATAAATATGTATACCAACAATAGTACATATACAATATCCAAATAACTTAAGTGTGTAAAGAAAGCACACAACTAAAAAATCCTAACATTATGTCATTTTGTATATTCATATTATCTTACTCATAGAATAAATGATTATTTTTGAAATAGTTTTTAAAAAAGTATACTAGTTTGATTTGATAATAGTTGAATGTAATTTTATTCTCACTTATCACTTTAATAAATTTGTATTGGAAACAACCAGACTTTCTTAAAATTTTGGAGAAGGTAATAACAAAGCAAAGATTTTAGAATTTGTTTTATGTAGACAATAGAACTAACCACACTTCTTCCAAGCTAATCTTGCACAAGTAGTTGAATCAAATTATAATCAATATATCAGGAATAGAACCAAAACCCAAATTAGTTGACAACAAGTACAATTGAGTGAAGAATATACAATGATTAAGATTAGTTGCAATAACCCATGAATAAAATTATTGAATATTTTTTTATGAAATTCATCAAAGATCAATACGGTGAAGTAAATCAATTAGAGACAAAAAAATAAATCTTATGTATTTTAATAATTATTATTTTTATTTATATTTGATTAGATAAGATGTTTTTTAACTGAATTTATTCAAATTTCACTATCCCATGCATATTTAAGTGCTTCTTGCTAGTACTTTGTAATAATTTGTATATATATATTCGAGATTTTTTGTATATTATAAAGTAATATTGTTGGTTGTTAAATTATTTTTCCATTAATGATATATATACAAAACGGGCATAATCTTTGGAATTTGATAACTTTGAAATAAGGAATAGTTATAAATTTTTATGTTAATTAGAAAGGCATGTGGTTTAAATCAAGAGGATAAATAGAAATACTGCTTATATATGTGACATTGTAGAGTTGATGATAAAGTATAGAAGCCACATGCAAACAATAAAACATAAACATCATGAAAATTTGGTATACCAAATAAACTTTAATAGTGTACAAATTATGAAATAATTTTAAATATACAAAATTTGGAATTGGACCATTTTAATCATATGTAGATTGAAAAACTTATTTGAAAAGAGAGACTATAAGTAACATTATCTTTAAAACAAATGAGATTTGCAAATCTTTCAAACTAACTTTTAAACATTGGATAAATAGACAGAATATTATGCCTCAAAAAGCCCTATCAAAGCCTACTTCGTTGAGGGGTGCTAGGATTGTAATAAAATTCGTTCCCAATACATCCCATTTATGTCCAAAAAAAATAAAAATAAAAATAAAAATAACGAAAAACGAAAAAGAACACAACTTCAGTACATTGAATTGCAGAGACCCGGAAAAGGTCCACAACGACATTAGTATTCGCGACGAAGAAGAAATTTGCGGAAGTGCAAATTTGCTCGACGCCGACACTCGGGGGCTCGCTCGCTGGCTCGCTGGACGACGCTGCGCCATGAATTGCAGCGCAAATCTCGTATCTTGCGTTTAAGGCCAACTGTGTGGTGGCAGTCCCATCCCCGCTACCGACCACATCTCCTTTGCCTCGATCCCCTGGACTTGATTGAAGCCTCATACATGCGCTTTACAATACCAGCTCCACGATTGCGAAAACCTCGCTCCTTCGTTGAAGTGGGGGAGGGTTGTTGTTGTTAGTTGATGTTGTTGTTGTTGAGTAGCTTGCTGGTAGGGTTGAGCTGAATGCAAGTTCTTCGTCGTACCTGGGATTGAAGTTGGGGTTGTGAGGTGACAGTGTTGGCTGACAGGTGGGTTTCCATGTCGTTGCCTTGTGTTCGTTTAGCTTTGTAGCTGGAGAGTCTGGAGGTGTCACATGTGTTGAGAGTTGCACACATGGGTGATCGTGTAGTTGAGTGTCCATCGAGGAACGTGCCGAGCGCATCGCTTCTTTATGTTTGGTTGCGTTGTACAAGAATATAGCGTCATACCAAGACATTCATTTACGTGAAGGTTTTCAATCTGGTGGCAACACTATTGACCAACCAATGCTATTTGCACCTGTCTTTCATGCATCCCAAAGTAGTGACGAGTCGTAGCTACAATGTTTAAAGCACCCACAGTAGCCTCGGTCCCGGAGCCTGCTGTCTTAATTCCCCTGACGAAAAATGCTCACCCAGCTGAGCAATTTCGGAGTTTGAATTGTGTCGGAACGCGAAGAGGAGGAGCTAGATTCGGAATTGGAATAGGCACCAGGAGGTGGACAAGATTGGTGGTTCCGCGAGCTTCCTCAATGGCAGCAATTGCACCATCACCCAAGACCACGGAGGATTGCACGTAAGCATGCTTATGCTCTCTCAGTAATTTGGAAATGTCTCCACGACGCATGTCAACGACTATCAAGCGATTGCAGATTTTGCTCATGGGTTCTTATCTTAGTAATGGATTTTTTCTTTCACACTTATTTATATCTGTCTCCTTCAAGGAATTGGATCGTTCTGCTTCGTGATGTCCAGATGTGGATTGTCCAGAGAATGTGCTGTGGTATTACGAACAACGAAAGGATGCGGACTGGGTATATCCGTGTATCCAGATTTTGTGTACAATGCTGAGGGAGGTGGTGGAAGTGGAAAGGCTGTGAAATTGTCGGATGGTTGCTGGCGTGTGCAGTTCGATGCAACGGAAATCAATATTCCAGACGTTAGCTTCCGCACAACGAAACTATTGAGCGTTCCGATTCCTCCACCCATTAGGATCAAAATCGTTCCAGATACTTTAGAAGGCACCGTGGATCTTGAAACTGGCAAGGTGAGCTTCTGCCCGCGTCGAGGTCTCTTTATTGAAATTCTTCTTTGACCTCAATGAGAAGGATCGCCATTTTTGCATAACAAGGGAGGGGTCAGTCAAGTCTTCAAATTGTGGCAGTTGGAGGAACTGTTTTCCTGCTCTGTTATTCTTGCTCGGCTTTATGGTTTAGTTGGAAGCTCAAGGTACAAATGAAACCGGTCGAATTAGCACGCTCAATAAGTTTCTGACCTCACACAAAAAACATGAATGTTGTCCTCCATGTCTCTCGATTTGATAAACATGAATGTGATAAGATTTACATGACTACCCCTAAAAGCACATTTATCCTTGGCATCCTAGTCTCCTGCGCTACAAAAGTTTGAACTAGAAACCAACAATGAGTATATGTATGAGCAGATAGTTTTAAGATTCCAATCAAAGTTCTACTTCTCAGCTACGGACCTCTATCGGCCGCCACCATTAGTTGTGGACACAGTTTTAACAACAGAGGACACACACGGTGAACAAAGAGGAGGGACTGGAAGCCGGCTGGATGCTCACGGCAACTGTCGCCTAGTTGGGGTTGCTCGTCTGGTACCCATAGGCGACCTCTTCATGGACAAGTTCCTGATGCTGCCAGCAGATTGCTATGCCAGCATGAACGCCAACTTCACCTTCAACATCGCCTCATAGCACGGTACATCCTGACGTGAGCTGTTGAATTCAACCGCGCTGGCCTGACCCAACTGCTTAAGTTAAGCGATATCCAGGTCCAACTGACGTTACAATTTTGTCCATCAATACATGTGAGTGAACAAGTGCACGATGGACTCTCTCAAGCCTTGGCAAAAAGGTGTTAGAGCCAGCCTGATATGTCTGTGTATATTGCTTTTCCACATGTGAAGGCTTTTTCCAGTCGAAGTTACGAACAGAATTGATATAAGAAGCCCACCTTGCTTGTGCAAGCTGCTTATTTTATTTTTTACTTTTTATTTTTGTTTCAAATTTAATTTACTTACATGCTCCAACAAATTCTAATAATGTCTTTTTACTATTTCTTTAGTTACAAAGCTAAACGAACACAATGCAACGACATGGAAACCCACCTGTCAAATTCAAATTTAATTTAATTGAATTTACATACATTCTTCAATAAAGTCTAATAATTTACATGCATTTTCCAATAAAGTCTAATAATGTATTTTTACTATTGCCAAGTAATAAAGCTCTAGACTTCAATTCAATTTTCATTTCCACTTTTATACTCATGATAATATTGGCCATTTAAGAATCATCCATCTCTAAATAAACAATGCTTTTATCATTAAGCTTTTTCCATTTTATCACAAATATACTTCTATAGGAAATTTTATATTCTCTTGTGTCATATGTCAATCTAGTTTACAAGTGTTTGAATCTTTTTCATAATCACTTTTTAAAATAAAAAACCATTAATTAATTTCAAGTCATTTCTAGATAGATTCTTCCAAGAAGTGATAAAATTAGCTTGAAGAAATAAAATCTCAACAGAAATTTGCAAGCAAAAATTCTTCATTTCTATGAAAAAGTTCTTAAAGGTCTATGCTATTAAAGATGTGAGTTGATGAAGATATATATATATATATATATATATCTATTAAGTAAATAGCCATTTCTAATGGTCCTATGCTTAGAAATACTTCCAAAATCTCTAAACATATTTTTTAATAATCTCGTTTTTCAAATTGAATGATAAATAAAAATTAGGATTGATTTAGTCTTCTATGGAATAGTTACAACATGAACCACATTAATATTGCTTATTTTTATATTCTAGGTTTAATTCATATGCACCTTGGATTAAAAAAAAAAAAAAAAAAAACCAAAACCAAAAAAACCAAAAAAAATGTACACTTAAATGTTAGTATTTGCTACAATTCCAAGCCTTATATATGAAGCTTATAATTTTTTATACTCATTTACTTGCAAATATTATCAAATCTAATCCTAAGTTCTAATAATATATTAGAATAAATTAATAAATTTTCTAATATTCCATAAATTGACTTTATTACTTCTTTTGTATTGTACAATCTTATCATTAAATATGAATCTATCTATCTTTACAAATCCTTTTACTATATTATAACTTTTTATGTTATTCTTAATTGAGCTAGTTTTTAAGACCTAACATCAAGTTGCAATAGAGAATCTATTATATACCAATTCTATATATCTTAATTTTGGTAGGTTCAAGCGAGGAAAACCATTGTTTTTTTCTTAAAGTCCTATTTGTTGATTATCCACTTGAAAAAAAACCAATGAACATAATGTCTTTAACTAATTTGTAGAGTCCTATATAATATTTAGCCTTAAATAAACAAAAAAACATTCTTTTAACTTAATTTTCTGATTTTCCACATATAAAGACAAAATATATTTACAGAAATTTATCTTTAGATGTAGACTTGGATCCTTTAATTATTACATTTCCCAAATTAAATCAATTTTCAAATCTCTCAAAAATATTATTGGTTTGGTGTAGTCCATTTCTATGCAGTTTTGCAGTTTTGCAGTTTTGCTTTTGCTTTTGCTTTTGCTTTTTTTGCTTTTTTTGCTTTTTTTTTTTTTTTTTTTTTTAAATTAATGTGTATGTTGATAAATAAGATATTATGATTCTACCTCAAGAATAAATTTAATTTAATAAAAAATTGAAGTGCAGAAAATCTACCATCTTAGCCAAAGATATAGTACAAATTTTAATTTTTCTTTAGAAAATTAAGTTGAAGAAAAATATGGAACAAAAATTGCAACAAGGTGACAGTGTAGTTGGTTTGGGATTATATTTCTCTGTAAGAAGAAAAGTATAATTTTTTAAAATGCATAAATATTTTTTTATGGTAATATTATAAAATATCATTCATTATATTTTTATATTTAATTTTTTAATTTTATATAATTGCTAATATACTAATTTTTTACGATTATAAGTATCAATAGAAAACCTGCTGCTTAATCATATTTATGTAAAAATAATACTATGCTAAAGAAAAAAAAAATCAATTTATTAAAATAAATTTATATTATCCTTCTTGTATTTATTTATTTATTTTTATTTTGTTTTTTTAACAAAGAAGATGCACTATTACTATTCTACCAGTAGACTTGTTGATAATTTTAATTCTAGTATACGCTTTGTAATACATATGAAAAAGTAAAGAAAACAGAAGTCTTTAAATCATTTTTTTGATATGTAAATTAAATTAAAAATTTAATTGATCCTATTTGTAATTATTATTTTTTTATTTCTTTTAGCAATAAAGTTATATTTCTTATATATTTGATTATTTATTTATAACTTTCATGTAAACAGAAGTCATAATATGTTTATTAATCTATTATTAGAATAAATAATATTTACATATTTACATATTAAGTGAATGTGAAAATATATAAATATAAATATAAATATATAATACATTGATATTATCTAAAAAATAGTGTTTTTAGTTACAAAATCTTATAATAATTGTAATGTTGTAATAGAAAAACAATAAAGGTTCTTACATTTGGTAAACCAAAAACAAAAGAGAGAATATTCTATTTTTTTATTAATCATATCTTTTTATATGCACAATATATAAAAATATACCTCAAACAAAAACTATAAAATCCATGTAGGTACATTTTATGTTTATCTTTTGTGCTATTTTTTAAAATTATACTTATTACCATTACCTTTAAAAAATAAAGATAAGAAATAAAATTTATCGTCTATACATGGTTCTTATTTCTTTTTATCATTTTTGTTTATTTTTTATGTGACATTGTTAAAATATGTTTTTGTGATTCTTGTTCATATAGTTTGCATTGTGGTTCATTATTCTATTATACATCATCACACATCAATAACTTGCTTTCCCATATTCCTCTTGCATCAAAGCATGTGCACCCAACTCTAGTTATTCTTCTGCTTCTTCTTCTTCTTCTTCTTATTAATTTCATCCATTCTAATCATTCCTGCACAAATTGTCCATCCTCAACCAAGTTCACACCCCTAAACTCCATTCATTCACACACACACACATATGCACACAAATCCATACAAACATACATGATTCAAATAAATTGAACATGAAGATAGTCCCATATCATCAACCCATTGTAGCAACAAAGCATGCAGTTGTGGCAACCCTGAAAAACATGAAAAACAGGCTTTGGTGGGGGGGGGGGGCATCAGAGAAAGCAAAGGGGGGCCACCCAAACCAAGCCAGTTGAAAGGGGAGTGAAAGAAGCACAAAAAAAAATTAATGAAAAAAATAACAAAATAAAAAAATATCTAGCAGGTCCTTTACAGCCACGCTTGCTTGGCTTTTTAAGATGGGAGAATGTGAGAGATCTCACAGGGCTCGTGAATCTGGAGCATCCACATCACCTCCCTCCGCCTTCCTTTTTCATGCCTACCTGATATGCTTCCGGATGCTGCTCGCTGGCGTTCGGAGCTTCAGAATCCCGTTCTAGATTTGTGGGTCTTGGTACTGATGTGCTCATTCGCTTCAATTTCAACTGGTTTTTGGTCTGTGGTAATTGTTTGTGTCCAGTTTTGTTGCAAGTTTTGAGTTGGAGTTTGTGCGTGGGAACTGACCAACAGACACTCAGCACCCGAGACTTGGCCCCCGCCAGTAAATTCCCCGGAGGAGAGTTCGCCTCCACGAGCTTTAGGGTCGTAATTGCTATCGAATTCCAGCGTGTAACTGTTCGGCTCTTTTTATTATTATTATTATTATTATTTTCGAGTATCCTCGGCATCCTCGGTTTTGATACCGAGGGGCTGCTTCGGAGTGTCTGTGGCAAGGCCTGTTGTCGAGGTTGCCGGTCGTCATGGCGGCAGCTCTAGTGAAGCAGCCTCATGCGTGGTGTCTATCTGCCCGGCCGGAACTCCCCGTCAGCTTCCGCCCTAAACCCTTGCAAAATGGCTCCCAGAAGAGAGTTCCATCGTCACCTGTGTGCATATCAGAGGATTTCGATTTCAGAGCCGGACCTCTGGAGGACATCAAGCCCAAGTTCATCCGGTCGGGGTATCCTAGTCTCCTGGAAACAGTGCAGACGGAAGCCTCACCCGAAACTGGGAAGCGTAGAGGACGTCGGCGATTTCGAAAAGCCAAGCCAGTGCAGGTCTGGTGATGCTACCCTTTTCATACGAAGATAACTTCATGATCATGTGGACACTTTGTTTTATAAATTCCCTGGAACATATCATGACAACCTGCTCAGATACGTGAGGCATTTAGGCCATTTCAGGGGCGCTGATCGGAGGAGGGTGCACGCTGCTGGCTTTCAAGTTCGCGCGACAAGCGTATGAGCATCTGGAATCCCATCCTCCTGCTCACGACCTGCCTTTACACTTGGACAGCGAAGTCAACCAGCTTATGCTCACCATGGTCAGTGATTCAATTGCCATTCAATCTTCTTCGATTCTGTAGTGTAACATGGTGTCCGATTCTGCATAATCTAGCTCTATTTCTCGCTAGGTTTTGTGACCGCCCCTTCAGCGTTGGCTATGTTCAGGTGGCGGGGTTTGGTGGATTGGTTGTGTGCATGTTCGGCGTGAGCTGTGTGGGCTTGGGGCTGCTCTCTGTGAAGCTGCTGAAAGCTCCCAAAACACCCCCGAATGCACCATAAGGTAGCTGTAATATCCAATTATCTATCTAATTATCAGAATCATTCTTGCAGTTTCAGGTTGGGTTGCAGCTTAGCCTGCGCAGAAAAAACAGAAAACTAAAAAAACTAGCACCTACATTGCGAGATTATAGCAATTCATGTACAGCCCACTTGCGAACTTTCTCTCTATCGATTGGCAATCTGCATAAACTTTTAAGCTGATATAACCGCAAGATCTGTGTACATGTACTGATTGTCGCTCACAGAGGGTTCTCATACCTTGCAATGGTCTCTATATAACCGATCAACTGCATCATGCGAAATCCTCGTGATAAGCTGGGGAAATATGTTATGACGCGGGCATTGAAATCTATCATCTAGTTCATTATCAGCGGCAACAACTAACATATTCCTCTCATGGAACACTTTCCAGGAATGTAATCACACTAATGAACTTGGGGGCTAAAAATCTGAACCAGATTGTTTGATTGAAAGGTTTGCTGGATGCTGAGACCGCCGTCTCAAAATCACTGTGTGTGAAGTTCACAGTTGCCATTTATGAGGAAAATGTCAACCTGGTCACATACAACTGTGTCTCAACTTATTAACTGCTTCTGATTGTTATCTCAACATTGATCGAGAAAAAGTTCTCGACATACTGAAATGCTCTGATTAAATCTGAAGCTTGTGTCCACAAAGCAAACTGTTTTGAAACAATTTTCAAACATAATGATTTAATAGGATGACACTGCAAAGATATTAGAAAGCATGCCAACTTCAAAATTAACAATACATGCAAGAAATTGACAAAATGTAGACTGATTTTAAAATTGATACTACTCAAATTTGTACATTCTGAAATTTGTCTTATCACTTGCTACGTAAGTCATTCAATACAGCTTCTCTTCAAGGCTTGCCCCTCAAGCTATTTAGAGTATCTTTCAAGAAAAAGTTTCAACTAAAATATGTTATTAAAGCTTCTAGCAAGTGCCTGAAATATCTCAAAAGGTTCAGAATTGTTTTTTTATAAAGTTTAAAAGATTTTATGAAGAATTAAAAGTTTCTATTTACATTGTAAGGTATTTTTCATATCTTATATACTTTGATGAGGTCCAAAGTTGTGTATCAATTTCTAAAACCAAGGAGTTAATAGCATTAAGATTAAGTGACCATGTAGAGTATAGTGTATAGTAAGACCTCTATAAGTAATTTATAAAAAATTAAATTTCTAAAAAACATGATATTTGAAACTGGCTTGTAAAAAATTTAAATCCACAATTATCTTTTAAAGCCCGTGACAATCCAAAATTTGATCGTACAATCATTTGACATGCAAATTATTAGATAAAACATTTCAAGAAAATTAATAAACTAAAAATTGTAGTAGTCTTAATCAATTACTTTGCTTCAATAAATATTTTTAATGAATCTTTTATATTTAGTGTAAAATATTGGCTAAAATCTTGTGTTTTATTTTTTTCATCTATTAAGACATTTAGTTTATTTTAAAATTAGTATATTAAAATAATATAATCTTAGTAAGTAATTTCAAATCTTTACCTAGATTATGCAAATTGTTTTTGTATCCATGCTATTAGAAGCAATTGTTATAAGTACCAATTCATAATTCTTCTTTATTTTTTTGTAAAATGTTAATAAATTTCAATGCTTGAAAATTTCAGAATATATTACAGCACTAATTGAAAAAAATTACAAGCTATCATGTCATATTGCATTCTAAATCATATGAGTGATTTTAAAGATAATACTAACAAAGATGAAAATGTTTTTAAATATAAATAAGAAAAAAGATATGTTGATATAAAAGAACAAAAAAATTATCACGAATTTGACTAAAGAGATATTAATAAAATAAAATAAAATAAAATCTTATAGAAAATACTTGAGTTTTAAAAAACAGACATCTATTCTTATTGCTAAACTTTACAACATTTTTAAAAAGAGCAAGTTGTGACACAAATTACATAGTAGAATATTGTAGAATATTGGTTAAAATTTGAACTTCTATTCATCCAATATAAAATATTAGTTAAGAACTAGTTTGGCTGAATCCTACTATAACATATTTTGTTAGAAAAAGTACCTAGTTGATATATGTTACTAAGTAAATATTAAACCATTATTAGTTGTCTTTTATTAGATTTTTTTTCCAAAACGTCTTCTTCAATAACTCGATTTTTTGACTTGATTTATTTTTTAGAGGCTAAAGCAATATGTTAGGTAGAGTTCCAATATAGGTGGGATATATCCAATCTAAGCCTAGTTTTCTCTATATTGGAGTAGTCATTGTTTTTCCATCTCATTGCCTCTATACCTTCTTTTAGTAGGGAAATGACCAAAACTTTAATTTTGGATTAAAAACTCTTTAAATATAAATATTTTACAGCTCTTAAAAATATATAAAAAATTTAAAATTTAAAATTTGTGTATATAAATTCACAAGTATATATATATATATATATATATATTTAAAAATAATAGTAAAAGATCTATTTTTTAAATATTTTGTCATCTTTTATATTTATTTATATATATATATATATATATATATTTATTAACACAAATTGGCCAAAATATTTAAAACCACTAAAATTTAAACAATTTAAACAAAATTTAGAAGTGTCAAAGCAATAACAATCTCATTGTGAAAAACTGAGAATCACAAACTACCATACTTATATAATCCCATGTCTTTTGAAGCAATAATTTTAAGCAATGAAGACTAAGATATGTATAAAAAAGAAGAAATAAATGAATATATAATAACCAATGATTAATGTCAAGAAACAAGAAGGCCTAAAAGGCGACAAGAAGAACTAATTTAAGAATTGAGTTGGCAAAGCTAAAGAGGTCATAAGTCTTTTTTACTTACACTACTTATAGAGCCAAAGTCTTGGAGTCCAAACCTCTTGTGTCTTGCCAAGCAAGCTAGTAAATGACTTGTGTACCAAGTCTCAAGAAGCTTCCCAAAAAGACTTGCAATGGCATCTGTTGTAAGTGGCTTGATTTCTATGCTATTCTAGAGGCTTCCCAAAACCACCTAACATAGCTTAGCTTTTAAGCTACCTACTGTATACTCCTACCAAGTTCTTAGAATAATTTAGAATCTACCATGTTGTAGAAGATTCTTAAAAGATTTCAGAATCTTATTTGTATGTCCATAATAAGACGCTACACTTAAAAAAGTTAATTTACAATTTAATAAGTGTTTTTTAAGTATTTTAAATTTTAAATTTCAGTTTCTTTTATTATGTGCATTAATTAATTTTTATAAATTATAAAAATATTAATGAAATCAATAAATAATATAGCGGTTTTTTTATAATTTTTTTTTGTAAAGAACACTTACCACAATTATTTTTATAGATAATATAAAATGTTGTTTGATACAAGAAAAAAAAAAAAAAACAAATAAAAAACAAAACAAAACAAAAAAAACAAAAAAAAAACAAAAACAAAAAACAAAAAAACAAAATAAAAACAAAAACCATATTGATTGAAGCATATTATAAAACATATTAATAAATAAGGGTATAGACTAAAAGTGGTGAGGCTACAACTTGCACAGAAAGATCCAACAACAAAATCACATTAAGCATCTTGTTATGTAGCTTGATGCTTAAAATTTTTTGTATTAAACCTCAACCTTTTGGTAATAATCTTTATATATATATATATATATATATATATACATATATATAATATAAGTTCTAAGTTAATAATCTATTGTATTTCATAAATGTTATTGAGTTATCCCATCACAAGCTTGTTGAGATTACAAAGAGAGTGTTAATATTGCAAAGACACAATATGTTTTTTGATTACATACATCATTGCAAAAAATCTTCTAGTTAAGAGGAAATAATTTTTAAAGTGTATATTTTAATAACTCTCTTTGAGACTACTAAATTGAGTTGCAATTCCACAAAATTTATAACATAGTGAATGAATAAGAAAACAAATTTATGTTATGAATTAAATGAGTATTGGGATTTAACATGACAAGTCTACAAACTTTGACTAACAAAAAACATGAACTTGTCACCTCTATTTATAAAAAAAACGTGTGTCAAAAAAACCCATGATCTGGAAAAGAAAAATCTTTGTAAGAATTAATTAGTGATTTTTTTTTTTCTTTTAATTGTTTTTTTCAACAAGAGTAAAAAAGTTGGTTTTCACACACAAGGACTCACTTCAATAATACTTGTTGTAGACGAAAATCAACTTGATATTATAAAAAGAGTTGTCATATTCTTCCACAAAGAACTTCAAAGTTGTCGTAGAAGAATATGATTTCAAGGTTTGTGAAAATAATTGTATTATTTCTTCAAAGCAAGCTGAGAGCTTATTTCGAAGGGATAGGGCTTTTAGATTTTTGACAAAAAAAACATCCCATTTTTCAACAACAAGCTCTAAATTCATTGCAATGGAATAAGAATTTTTGGACTGCCCGTTCTTGTCGGTGGAGGCTGTAGGGTGCCCGAGTTCGGTTGCTGCCCGTCCGTCGTCGAAGCTCAGCGAGCGGAGTGGATGGAGTAAAAATCTACTGGTACCCAATTGGGTACTTACTTTTCCTGTCAAAACGATCATAATTAACGCTAATCATGTTCATACTCATGTTCATAATCATCGAATTTGTACCACACTTTCGGGTGAACGCCGCCCAACTGCGTAAACCTCAAATCAAAATCTAATCAGGGTAGTCTGCTTGCCCCAAAACACAAGCAGTTCATTGTAAAGGATTCAATGGAGACTTGTGATGTGTTTTGGGGCAAGCAGACTACCCTGATTAGATTTTGATTTGAGGTTTACCCCGTTCTTGTCGGTGGAGGCTGTAGGGTGCCCGAGTTCGGTTGCTGCCCGTCCGTCGTCGAAGCTCAGCGATTATGATCGTTTTGACAGGAAAAGTAAGTACCCAATTGGATAACAAAATCTGTATCTTAATCTGCCAATTTTTCTACTCGACCTCCACTGCAACGTTTCAAACCTGCACAAGATTGCACAAGATAACAACACAAAGGTTTAATCAGTGCCACACGTTGATGAGGGGCGGTGCCATTTCGTATTTGCGGAAACCCACAGCGCCATTCGAATTACAGGAGTCGTCGAATTAGCACCTAACTAAGTGGGATCAGAACCCACTTAGTGGATAACTAAAATTAAAAATCCGAGCCTGTCGCGCACCCTCTCGCTGGCAAGTAAGTGTCGAATGCGTGAGCTGGTTCCGTCTTAACTACCTAGCTTATCCAATCCGAACACCTTCCATTTGCGTTCCGCAAGCCGCACGGAGAATTTCCTGTGTTTGCTTAGTTGCATCGCTGCATCGTTACAGTAGAGTGACAAGGTATGACTAACTTGCACCAGATGCGCAAGTCGTGTCTCTTCTCGTTCTATTCTTCCTCTGAATTTCGACACATGGATAAGTTGCGGGGTCCATTTTCATTTGGTTTTGACCGGTCACTGTATTTTGCCAATGCTTGGGATGCTTGATTGATTGAGATATGTTGCAAGGCATGTCTTCGTCACACCCTTTATGAGATTGTTCGGAGATTATTTTGTAGCTATCAGCTGTGTAATTGTGTGAGCCGTTGGCTTAGTTCATAAGATGGACTTGGTGGGATTTTTCGCAGATGTGGAATTTGTGGGACGTCGGCTCCCTGGTCATCGCCGTGGGCTTACCTGTGGGGGTTGGGTTTGCCGGCACTGCCTTTGGCGGGGGCGGAGACAGTGGTGCGTTTTACTTTAACTGTTCTTTACGTATTGTGGGATGCCTTTATGCAATAGTCTCTGGTATGTGGGATTTTTATGCCTTTCTTGACGCGCACCTAAACCTTAAAAAAACAGAGCCGATTGATGTGATGCTCTTGTTTCTTCCCCTTGTTACAACTTATCTCTCGGTTTTATTCTCTATACTTTGACTTATCGCGTGCTAAAGTTTCAAAATGTAGCCTCTTAAATCCGAAAGGATTTGTGATGCATGAAAACTATGAGCATTAAAGAACAATTCTGATTGATGGTCACATCTTCCCTGTGTAGAGTGGTACAAGGAGTTGAACAAGCCCCCATGGACTCCTCCGGTACGAAGCCTGAGTTCTCATTTACTTCTGTTCCAAGTTTATGTTCTGTTGCAAGTTTTCTATAGACTATCTTATTGGAATGGATCGAAACATGTTCAAAGGATTCTCTTTCACTATGCTGTTGTTTTTGTCGACTCTCTTTAGTTGCGTATGGTTGCTACACGCTGCAGTTCTCGTTAAGTTACAATTGTTGGTGACATACAGGGTTGGGTTTTCCCTATAATGTGGACAACTCTCTACATCTTGATGGGAGTTTCGTCCTGGCTTGTTTATAAGGAAGGAGGTTAGTAGATTACCTTCTCTTGGTTTAATTTCTTTCACTTGGACTTCAACTTGAAGATTAACTGAGTAGAAAGTATACAAGAACAGATTACTCCGTGTTGTTTTCAATGTCTTTTCACTTTTATTTAACCTTCGCTGTAGCCCTGTGGCTACAAGTATCTCAGATGGAATAACGATATTTACATGCTTGCAGGTTTTTCTGCTCAAGGCTACCCTCTCGGTGCATATATTTTCCAGGTACGCTTTCCTTTCTGATGGTTTACAAAAGAACATGAGACTTGAGCTGGAGCAGTTCACAGTTTAGATTGCTGATTAAAGGTATGATTATGAAGAATTTCTCCCATATGTAGACTTAGTCCCATCAATGGACTTACACGTTGTGAACAACTGGATCATGCAGCTAGCTCTCAACTTTTTGTGGACCCCGATATTCTTTGGCATGCATTTCGTTGTAAGTCTTTTGAGCTTGACTGAAAGAGAATCCTTGAAACTTTATAATGTTCTGTATTGTCGTTTCAAACTGCTCTCTATTCGTGTGATGTAGTGTTCACATGTAATGTGTGCGAGAAGGCGTGCCTGAATATGCAGTCTTCTCTGAAATCACCAGAATTACCAACGGATGTCGATGGCATATGCTCAGCACTTACCTTTTTTTTGTTCAGGGTTACGGACTCATAGAGATAATAATACTCTGGTTCGCTATCGCTCTGACAATATATCTCTTCCTTCCTGTTAATCCCATCGCTGCCTACCTTCTCATTCCTTACATTGGTTGGTACGTCTTCTGACACTACAACTTGGTAGTATTTTATACTATTCCCTCTGTTTGAGACATAGTCTGTTCCAAGAAGATTGGTGGGTAAATTGCTGAGTAATCTGCATTGGTAATAGTGCTGTGGATACTGGAAACTTGAAGACTAACTTTCCATTTATGTGTGATGCTGAACAGGGTAACCATTGCGACGTCTCTCAACTGGTATATCTGGATGTATAATGGCAGTTCAGAAGTTACCCAGCCGTTGCAGTCCGGCTCTAGTGCATACAATTAAGGCTCACCCTGGTTTGATAGATTCCTAACACCCGAGAAGGTGTCCTTGTCACTAGACATTCTATAACTCTTCTGATCTACCATATTGTCAGCATAAGCTACATAATTGATTAACCAGTGTCTCCTCTTGTTCGTTGTAATGTGGCATGACTAAAACAAAGTAAAATGACATGGGTTTTCCAATACCATGGTGGTGGTCCTTCATTTTGAGTTTTTGCATTATCTTTTACAAAGCAGAACAGAGAAAGCACTTATTTTCAACAAAATTCAATCAGTGTGGCATTTCCAAGAATCAAGATTTCTTCAAATAGAAGTCAAATAAAATCTCATGAAACTGGTTATAGACCTGTTTGTCATTGTTATTTTGTGTATAGACTTAATGTTTGTAAAATTTTAAAGGAGAATTTTTCCTCTCTAATTTTTTTACATAAGAAATCTTCTTCAGGACATTGTTCAAATAACTGTAGGCATTGGTCATACCTATGTTACAAATTAAATGAAAAAAATTAGAAATGACATGTTCTTAGTACAGGATGCATATGGCATATAATTACACATTTACTTGAATTCCTAAACTGAGATATTTACATATTATGAATGTTAAACTTTCAATTTTTTTTATACATGAATATAAATGTATATTTTATGGCTTTAAAATAAAATAAAATTGAGAGAATATTAAATCGGCCTAGGTAAAATTTTCATCCACCCACCTTTGTTCTTACTATTTTGTACCATGTCTTAACCATCTCGCCCATTCACTCTATTCCAACATTCTACTCTTCTTAATGAATTGGGCCACAAAAAAATAAAAAAATAAATCACAATTAATCCAGCTATTCACTAGGTACACATTAGAATCGCATAATATAACTGTAAATTATGAATGAAGAAAATGACTCCAAAGATGTAGAATTGAGGGATAGGTGAGGGAGGATTATCTTCTTTGGGTTGGTCAGACATACATGGCTTAGTACACAATGGTAAGAGCCAAGGTGAGTTATTCTAAGTTTTATTTATGTTGGTTTAATATTTTCTAAAAATAATATTTCTATATAAAATATAAATTTTAAAAGATCATTTAAATAAAAAAAAATTATGTGTAACTTGAAATATCAATATTGAATGATAGAATCTTTAAATTTTTGTATAATTTCTAATGCATATCCACCTTATATATTAAAGACAATGGTATCTATTTATATGAATCCATCTAAAGTATCATCGATCTCTTTGTGCATCTATTCATTTATAAGTTTATCCAAAAACAAATTATCAAAATTTTTATTGAATTTGTGCTTTAATGAAGAATCTCAATAAAGAAATAAAAATAAAAAGAGACTTAATATTTCAAAATATCTATTTTTATATAAAATTTTAAAATTCATCATTACTACTCCAAAAAACGACTTTTGAAGAAAAGAAATAATAATAGAAGTATACAAAATTGAGCAATTTACTAAAGATGATTGTTAAGTTGATTTGCAAGCAATTTGATATTGCATAAGCGACTTATAGTCAAGAAGTGTGCGAAGGTTGGTTTTGGATAGAATAGTGTATTTTTTTTTTTTTTTTTTTTTTTTTTTTTTTTTTAATATCAAAAGACTTTACATCAACAATAAGTACAAAAGCCTACAAAGACATATAAAGTATTTTAAATGTAAGTTGTTAGTTTTGATTTTTCTAATGTTTTACAATAATACTACAAGATATCTATAGATTTTTTTATTTTTTATATTCATTTAAAAAAAATACTATAATAGTACTCTTTAGATAAAATTGGAATGCCAACCCCAAGCACATTTAAAAGTATTGTCTAAATTGTTGAATTCATATCTTCTAGAAGTGTAGCTACATCATTAGAAAGTAATAGTATAAAACTCACTTGAGATTTGGTAACATATTAGATTCTATCATCTTCTTTGCATGTTTTAAATACTCTTATATTAACATTAGATTATAAAATGAAAGATACACCATAAGATATATTAATAAAGAAAAAAAAACTATCATAACATTCAAAGTTGTCATTTATATGATAAATAACAAGAATTAAGCTTTGTTAATAATAATAATAATAAGAAGAATGAAGCTTGATCTATAATTGTAAAATATATATACTTCTTAAATTGTGTATACGGGTTACGAAAATAAAAAATGATTTCAAAGAGTGATCTAGATTATTTAGAATAAAATGGAGAGCTTCAAAGACTTCTACAATATATGGTTATAAATTTATGTAATCAACTCTTTGATTGAATATTAGATTAGACAAAAGCTTATAAAGCAATATTATCAAGAAAAAGTTACAAAAAAGGCATGATACAACTTCTACATCTAAAGCCAATGTCAAATTCTAGTTAAAAAAATAAATGCTATGTATATTTGATTCTAAGAAACCAATAGACATAAATTAGTAAATTCATCCTTTAAGTCCCTCAAACATTACAAATGTTTCTTTTCATTGCCAAAGGTGGTGTTTTAAAAAATCCATTGTGATCATTTTTTTAATAGTTAAATATAGATAACTAAAAAACCATAGTGGTTGTTCAAAGAAATATATTTGATAGTAAAGAAAAATTTATGAAAGTGTAATAATTAATATTATTTCTTTATTGAAACAAAAAACCTATGTTTCATAATGGATCTATCAATTATCTTAAATTCTAATGTAAAGAAGATATTTGAATCTAATGTTCCAAAAAAAACCTTTTATACCAATATATTTGGACATTCTTAAAACAACCAAATGTAAATCCTTGTATTAAAAGCAAACATTAATAGGATTAAAGCTATTGAAGTTTTCAAGCTTTGCAAATCTTGACTTCTAATCTATATAAAAAAATGTGACTTAATGCAATACTTAAAGCACAAATCTTTATTAAAGATCTTTGTTTCAACACACTTTTGTTGTAATCTTATTATTCCTTCAATTGGTTGGTAATAACAATGTAGTTGATTTAAGCTTCATTTTTTACCTTGTTCATATCTTCATCTTTTGGTTGTTTATTAGATCTTGAATCTCCTTAAATAATAATATTATAATTTTTGGTCCTCAAATAATTATGTAACTTTTGTCATTGCTTAGAAGTTAAATAGTCATTCTTCATGACTACAAAAATAATTGTTTTTACTTGTCATTTGGAGAGGTCATTTATTAAATTTAGTAATTCATTTAATTATAATCCCAAATCCTATGTGATAGGTCTTAAATCCTCAACTGTCTTTTAAAATAGAATAAAAAACAAGTGGAACCAACTCACCAATAACAACCATTTGACCATTGGCTCTCTAACATTAAAGAATTAAAAAATAGAAACTATCTCTTCAAGAGCTCTAATCTCAATCCCACTTGAGAGAGTAATTTGATTTAGGTTCATAGACTACAATAAAATAAAGCATGTTGGAAAAAGACAACAGAGCTGTTTCAAAACAGACCTCAAAATGCACTGAAACTCTAAGAAAAAATAAGTTTGAAAAACTACGGAGAGTTAAATTCTCCAATAAACCCCAGCAGATAGCTCGTCTCTCCTCTACAGCTGTCCAACTGCACGTCAGTCAGGACCGTGAAAAATGTAGTGGAAACATGTACAATAAACTTCTAGTGATGGCTGATATAATCTAGAAGATAACATGGATGTGACTATCATAATTGTCCTAGGTAAGTGTTTTGATGGGCTCTCTGTCAGCCCCGCTTCCGATCCTCTCCGCACCATTCGAATACCCCGCTTGCAAACTTTGTATGTTCTTGCTAGATCGGCCATTCCCAGCAAAACAAACAGAAAGAGGAGCAGCTGAATTGGGCACCCTCCTCCACGAAAGAAATCCCAACCTTTGCACTTCCACCAAAAGCTTACACAAAAAGCTCATGGCAGGAGTGACCGAATTGTAGCCGAAATGACTCACTATCATCTGAACCATCTCTAGAAACAACGAACCCATTCCCGGAGCCTAAAAAAGGTAAGTCTTCACTTAGACCCACCAACGGTGTATGACACCACACATTATATGAGAAAACTGTCTCTCGCTTCAGCACAATCTAATGCTCTTCACAACAACTTTAAGCTAGAGTATTCAACTTGCTTTCACCGCCCAAAACCTCAATGCCCTCAACCCGAAAGTGGAACCCAACATTGCCAATGACGAAGAGTTGTGATTTTCAGATTCTTCTGCGTTGGAATCCAGGACATATACTCGAACTTGGTGCACGTGAGCTCACTGCAAGAATCCCCAATCACTCCACGAACAGAACCAGCGCCGTGAATATGCAACATACAATCCTCCTCATCTACCCATGGAATTGATGTCCCATTTCCCAACCCTGCATCCCACTTTTTGGAATGGTTGCTCAATCATGTGAAGAAAGTTTAGTAATTAGTCACGGACAAGTGTGTGAATTGCTTGGATTTAACGTTATGATTTTGTTTTCTACCAAACTGTTTGGTCTACATGTGTCGTAAACTAATATGGCTTATGTGGAATGGAATCAAAAGTAAAGGAAGGATACTTATGATGATTTGTGAAGCTCTTTGAAAAAACTATAAAAGGAACATCTTTGTATCAAATATCTTTGTATCATATACATGTATTTTATTTCTTGCTCAATCTATCTATCTATCTTTTTTATTTTTTTATTTTTTTATTTTTATTTTTTGAGTTTTTCTAATAATGATTTGTTGTTTTTAAGGTGTGATATGTAATTAAAAAAATTAGAGCTAGTAAATACTATGTATATAAATATAGTATATGCAATAAAATACTTGCATTACAAAATATATTGTAATAAAATATATTTTAAAATAAAACATCTATGTATTTTTAAGAATGTTTTTAAAGCTTCTGTTGTGAAACTATGTTACTCCATATAGTAATTTCCAGCAAAATTCAATCAATATTCTTTTGTAAGACTTCCCAGGATATACTACAAATTTTTACACCATAAAAATTACCAATCTAGCTGAATAAACCCAATTTCTAATGGTGTTAGTTAACATAGACAATTGAGCCGTATGCAAGTTTATCATTTTATTTTATTATAATTTTAAAAAAGTACAAGGCTTCCAAAAACATATTATAAAAAAAATTTGATGTTACAATTTCTTAAAATATATTTTAGTTTTAAAATAGAAAGAAAGTAAATATTTATAAATATATAAAATTATTTTATAATATTCAATGAGTTTTTT